GAGTAAAAATTATGTGTTAGTAGTTTCAAAACTCAAGCGAAATAAAACAGAAAAAAAGTTTAAGACTGTAATCTGTGAATTTTTGTATTTTTCTCTGAAACTTGTTTAAACTCACTCCAAGTTCACGGCTCTCATAATAGCGTGAATAGTACCGAAACGTCGGTTTGGATCAACAACAATAACAATATTGTCCATTCTTTTTCAAGTGCCTTGTCCTCTACGAACGTTGGCAATCATCAGCGCAGTCTTTACTTTGTCGACTGCTTTTCTGAATAAACTTGTCGTGGCCCAGTCGACGTCCAGCGCGTCTTCTGACCTCAATTTTCCCCTCGATTATGAGATAAAAAGTAGTTATTTGTAATTCCTGAGTATGTGCCCGAAGTACTCTAACTTTCGCTTTTTTTGAGCGTAAACATAACTTCAAGATCTTTTTACATTCTCGTTAGCACATCTTTATTCCGCACTCTTTCCGTCTATATGTCCACATTTCGAAAGCTTCTAGCTTTTTACACATGGCGTCAGTCAGAGTCCACCCCTCAATCCCATAATAGAGAATACTGAAGACGTAGCAACGTACTACTCGGGGTGCGAACGAAGAGCGAGAGACCTCGACTACACAACACAACAACACTTCATTTTCAAAAATTATGATGCTCTAACTTATTCAATCCTGGCACGAACCTCCTGCATGTTATCCCCTTCTTCATTTACCTGACATCCTAGATATTTGTATGATTGGACCCAATCGATCTGTTGGTTCTGTACCTGGAGAATACCTCCTCCAACCTGGTTCTTACTAATCACCATCCATTTAGTTTTTCTGGCGTTCAATTTTAATCCAAATTCTTCACTTTCAGTAGCAAAATGATCAAGTAATGCTTAAAGACTTTCCAGAGAATCAGCAATTTTAACCGTATCGTTCGCATATCGAAGCTTGGTAATGTTCACGCCATTGATAGAAATTCCGTCAGTGCAGTCTTTTAATGCTTTTCCAAATATCTTGCTCGAATAAATATTTTTTTAAAAAATAAAAAGAACCTTCAATAAACTACATACATTACACACATACTAACATACTTATTGTCCGTCGTTTTTAATCTGCCACTTTCCGTATGAGAAGCGAGGGGGTGAAGCATATGGCAAAAACAGGTGTGACGTCAGGTGACCATTGGCGTTCTAACAAAGGGAGCCACCAGCTAACATTCCTTTGAAGTATCGAGTATCATAGCGTTTCCGATTGGTAGATTTAGTGCGGTACTAGTGCAATTTTTGCAACACTTGGTATACACAAGAGTGGTGAGGCTATGAAGCACCGCACAAAGAGGAGACGAAAAATAGGGAACGCTGTACAACTGTCTTCTATCTCATTCTCTCGCAGTTTAAATCCCATAGATCTATATGTTTGTCTCTTTTTAGTGTCGCTTTTTCGTTTTATCGACTCTCAAATCACTCCCAACGATTCTAAAGAAGCTCTCACTTCAAAAGTAATGGTGAAAGGATGCAACCCTGCTGGACACCTCTTTCTATCCCTACTTCGTCAGACATTGCCTACCTTGATTTGTGCAGTCTGATTCCAGCAGAGAATTGGAGATTTGCAATTATTATCTTGAGGTCTCTATCAATTTTCTATGAATTTTCATAAGCTTCTCATGTTGTACCTTGTCAAACGCTTTATCATAGTCTACGAAGCATGCGTATACAAGAAGAGAAACATCTCTATATTTTTGAACTGGCACTTGGATGTTAAACAAGGCCTCTTTTGTGCCAAAATCGTTACAAAATCCAAATTGGGATTCGCCCGTGAAGGACTCGCACTTTGCGTATATTCTTTTTTGGATAATCTCCAGAAAACCTCGAGAAAATGGCTCATCAAGCTAATAAAGCGATAATCGCTACATCTTTTTGCAAATCTTTTCTTCGGAAGGGGCACAAATGTTGATTTAAGCCAGTCAGAGGGAATGATGCCCGATCGGTAAATCATATTGAATTGTAGTGACTCCTCATTTTATAGGATTTCATTAAGTTCGGAGTTTGGACCTGCAGCTTTCTTGTTTTTGAATAACTGAAAGGCGTGTTGAACTTCTTCTTTAATTATATCTAGTCCTTCTCGTGAATACTCTTCAGGAATGTACTCATCCCGAAACAGGTTTTCGATGAAGCTGTACCACTGTTTTGTCGTTGACATCAAGATTCATCTTATCTTGACTGTTCAACAGAATGTCAAGCAGCTTCTTCAATTTTCTTATGCATATTAAAATTGTCACATTTTGCTTCGAGGTCTTCGATTCCCTTACACCGTTCGTTTGGCCAATTTTCTTTAGCTACCCTGACTTTGTTTTTCATTTCACGATTTAACTGACGATATGCTGGCTGGTCTTTTTGCAGGCGTCTTGCTTCTATCAGGTCGAGGATTTCATCAGTTATCTAAGGTTTTTTCCTGACCCTAGTGTTACTTAATGACAATTTCGAGCTGTCGCTAACAAAGACTTCCCTTATACCAGTCCATAGAGTCTCCACTTCATGTCCAATATTTTTTGGAAAGTTGCTGATACCTTCTTCAATCCGAAGGGCATTCTGTTGAATGCGTAATTCGTAATATCCATTTTCATCATTAAATGCTGTTTTTGGTAGGTATAGCATTCTCGTATATTTCGACCTAACGAGCAATGTCTATTGTCTAGTCAGTTTTACGATCATCCGACTTCATCCGACTAAGTACCTGACTCCTGTTTGTGCAATTGGCTTATTCTAAAACGAGATACTTGCATCTGATTCCAATAATTTTCGAAATACGTATTTAATGCCGTCATTACTTAGGAATACAAAAGCTCATTAAAATGATCCTGGATCCTGTTCATACAAATCGTTGTTCATTTAACGGCCCTTCCATTATCTTAAACTTTAATTACCTCTCATAATATCTTTTTATCTTCACGAGCTGACAAAACATTGAAAATTGCGTGTTTTGCAAGAATATAAAAACCCAAACCTCGGCGAAGCGTTTAATATGAGTGTCCCAAATTGATTAGAAATTTCCAAATGATAATGCCGATCACATACGTAAATGACAGGAGACATATAGTGAAATTGTAAATTAATTTATTTGTCACTCATTTGTAAAACGTCACTTATCAAGTCAAAACATAACCAGCGAAAATTGATTTTTACGAGCTACTGGCTCTACTGACTTGTAAAATCGACAGCTAAACTGTAAAAACTTTTCACAAGTCAGTAGAATTATTTATTTTTGAAAAATCGGTTTTATCACAAGAATAATTGCTTGTAGGTACCTTCTGGGAGACTTTTCTGGTGATAAACTGTTGGCTACGACTGCAGCTTCATTAATAATATCTTGTAATAAATTCATTTCTGGAAAAAAATTGCAAAATGGAAATCTGTCAAAAAACCTATTTATAACTAGAAACAACGTCTTAACAACGTATCATTCTCATAGTTATACCAACTACCAAAACTTCTGTGAGAAAAAATCAAGGAAAAACATATAAATTTCAAATTTTTGTTATGTATTGATTTTTTATTTGTCCCTATATCTTTTACAAATGAGTAACAAATAAATTATTGTACATTATACGCCAGGTAGCAGTTTTTACTGGCTCTTGAAGGTGACAAGCTCGCCTGGCGGCTCGCTAGTCATTTCCTTCAATCGCCAGTAAAAACTGTTTTACCTGGCTAATAATGTAAAATACTATAACACGTCTATTGCAGACTGTGCATATGCACTTGAAGCAAAACAGAATGATAATAATTAGGAATTTATTTGTGCCAAGCTTGAACGTCATATGATTAAAGTACATATAGGTACCAATTTTGCTTCTAAAGATTGAGGATAATAATTTTCCTTAACTTGTGCCAAGCGAGTTTTATTCAATCGCAATAAAAGGGTGAAAACCCACTTCATAATTTGTTAAAATCAGGACAATTCGGAGCGGGATAATAGTATATTGTTGTATTAGGAGTAGAAGCTTTACTTTTTTGTGCTGAAGCAGTAGGTTTGCGAGCCGAACGTAGTGAGGCTTGCAATACTGCTGAAACACAAAAAAGTGCTTCTACTCCGTATGCAACACGCTATTTTTTCTCCAAACGAATGTGGTAAGCTCGGGGGTAACTGGATGGTTGAGCGGCAGTAAAAGTACGAGCGGCACTAAAAGTACTTTTACTGCCGCTCCAGCGGCACCAAAAGTACTTTTACTGCCGCTGGGGTTGCCAAGCAGCATAGAAATTAAATTTCTACCACCTCGACAGGTGTTAACCTCCTGGATTTGCCTAGCAACATAGAAATTGAATTTCTACCATCTTGACAGGTGTTGACAAAGTGATGTGTTTTTGACGTTTGGAGAAAAAAAACGTTTTATTGGGAGACACTCGACATTTTGCCCTTGTTGCTATTGTTGTGCCGGGTCAAAATGTATAGTTTATTTGCTTCAAAATTTTAAACGAATTATTTACGAACGATGCGTTTTTAATTTATAGAACATAAATTCATATTCTATTATCGTGCTGACTTTGAATTTATAAAAGTATTCCGACAACAATTTATGCCGGATTCAACGGAAAGTAGTAATAGAGGCCTAACTATAGCGTTGATTGAAAGTCAGTAATCTGAGCAAATTAATGATAAATTTTACAGCTCTTGAAGGTTTTTACAATCTGCGCGAAGAACATGAGCGTAATTATACAAGATGTCTTGAAAAGGTTGCAACTTTGCATATTTGAGAGAACTTTGAGGATCTAAGAGTCGAGATCCTCATAACAATAAAAATCAAAACTCGTATCCTACACCCGTCTGTATGTTTTGGTTTGTTCCCGATACAATGCAATCCACGATCATTTAATGAAGCTGTACGGAAAAGTTCCCTGATAATCTTATACTAAATATAAGCGATCAAACTTTATCCAATACACAATTCAGACCGCATCTCTATGAAACCGCTTTATGGTTTGTTTATACGTTATTGACGAAATATTGTTTGTTATATCAGGTGCTCCCCAAGTGTTGCGACATACAACAATGCCGGAAATCTTCGTCGAAAGTGGACAAACCGTGGATCTTAGCATGGTCGTTTGCGCTGACCCTAGACCGAGATCGGTCGCCTGGGAATGGGGCTCGCTCAGACTGGAAGCCGGCAATGAGATGGGTAAGAATTTTTCTGAGAAGCTTTTAACAAAATTACTACATTTATTTTCAAGACAAAGTCGTAGTAAAAAAGATTAGACTTGGCTGCTCCATAAAACTTGCTTCTTAGCGTATAATGTTTTCCTGAAAATGAAAAATGTAACGTAAAGATGTTGCCATTGAAGTTTAATTTTTATTTGAAATTTTGTTCTGCAACTTTTGAGCAAATTAGTTTCCCGGGAGTACTCACTTATAAAAATATTTTTCTGGCTTTTAAAAGCAGGGATCATTGGCCCGAAAAAACTAGTGTATATACTCTCGTTTATGAAAATTGGATCCACATACAAAGATGGACAAAGCCAAGGGTCATTGTCTTTTGATTTTATGAAATAAAATAGTCGAGTGTCTTCATATTTGAGCAAATGGTTCACTGAAGAAATTACTTGGAGTATGTAGGATTGAATTTTATATGAATATTTAGCGACATATCGATCAAACTATTATCAAAACCACCTTTATAAAATTTTATCTGTACACTAACAAGTGAAATATATACAGGATAAAAATTCGAAATTTTTCAATGTGAATATCTTTAAAAGAAGAGAAATTTGAACAACGTAATTTGGTACAACTGTAGGGGGAAACAGAATCATCATATTTTGGATACGGGGTGAGTGACCCCTTAGGCCCATGCATCTCAACCTCCAACCCCAAAAGGACATGGCACTAAATATTAGAATCCTGGTGATCGGCCGATTTTTTTAAAACTGCAGTATGTTATTCTATACCTGAAAACAAGCATTTTTGCTTATGGTCACTTTTTTGTACGAGTATGGGATGACCCAGAAAATTGAGTTCAAAGTTTGTATATAAAATATTTTCTTTAAGCATAAACTTATGTTTAGCCGTTGTTAAACTGATCTGTTATGTGATTTTGCATTTTATACATTAAAGACAAAGCTATTTATGTAGTTAAGAACAAAAATTATTATACAGGGTGTCTCAAAAATTATATTTTAAACCAAACTACTCTCTAAAGAAAGCCAATAACCAAAACAACTGCTACAAAACTATAATAACCTTAAATATCAATAATAACTACAAACATTGTAACAATGATCACCAGAGACTATTTGAAGTAGCTGCTGTTCCCTGGAAACGATTTGGATTTAATACTGTAGAAATAGATCAACAAATACAAAAATATGCCATATAGGCCCAGTTTCACAATTGGTGCAAAGCTTGACCAAAGGTTTTGGCTAAACCACACATCATGAAACAGGTATATTGTAGGTTAACAGTGTCTTGTGTTTACCGTTAAGTTACAAATGTTTGTGAAACTGTGTTGTTAATACAACAGACCAATACATATTCAAAATCACTAAACCGATACATCAAATATTTAATATAAAATCTTTGAACTCAATTTTTTTAACCGTTATTTTGGTTATTGGCTTTCTTTAGAGTGTAGTTTGGTTTAAAATAAAATTGTTGAGACACCCTGTATAATAATTTTTGTTCTTAACTATACAAACATCTTTGTCTTTAATGTATAAGTTGCAAAAATAAAGTTGCAAAAATACATAACAGATAGTTTATGCTTCAAACAAAATCTTCCATATAAAAACTTTGGACTTAATTTTCTGGGACATCCCATACTCGTACAAAGAAGTGACCATAAGCAAAAATGCTTGTTTTCAGGTATAGAATAACATACTGCAGTTTTGAAAAAATCGACCGATCACCAGGATTCCAATATTTAGTGCCATGTCCTTTCAAATGGCACTACCGCTTCTGTGATGCCTTAAATTAAATATTATTGAGAGGTATTTAGATTTGAATTTATATAGTATGTGATTTTGAGAGAGCCATCCATCTCAATATTAAAAAAGTTTGACAGAATACTGAGATTATCGGATGTAGATTTTATTTACCACAATCATGGTTTAGACAAATAGGGATGAATTCCTTCTTTCACCAGAAATATGGGCATCTTGTGATAGTACTAATCGGACGACAAACGCTTCTGAGTCATTCCATAGCCACTTCAATTTAGCTTTTCATATTTCCCATCCAGATATATTTATATTTATGACTGTCTCATTAGATGTTCAGTCGAGTTGTTATATCAAAATGAACAGCGTACGTTTACCAGTGTCCCACGGAAACCGCCATTATAAAAACCGTCAGGATGGTATCACCAATTTGATTACTTTATATAAAAGTAAGGATCGGACCGGAGAGTCCCATGCTCTGAAAGGGGTTCGGCGCGCTATCGGCCCATGGTACTAGTGGTACCTGAAAAATTTTCGAACCGCAGCCCGCAATCGTCCATTGCGCATATCCATCTGCAAAAGATTTGTTTCTAAATTTAATACAGGGCCGAAAAAAAAGTACAATTCAAATAAAATAAACTGTGTTATTAATGTTATTTTAAATATTTAGATGCTCAAATGGCATTTTACGCTACACAAAAGGATAATATTTTTTTCTGCGATTGACAAGAAATGTCAGCATTTTTGACCGGTTGGCAGGTCGCAAAACTCAATATTCTGGTATTTCAATAATGTTTCAATAGTTGCTAAGGAATCAATGAATAACAATACGGGAAACACTTTTCCGGCCTAGGCCGGGAAAGTGATTCTCGTATTGCTGAATAATTGGAACTAAAAGACAAACATTTAACAGGTATTTAACCGATCGCAGAAAAAATAGTATGTGTATTTCGGTGGAAAAGCACATTCTCGGCCTTAGGTGTTTGCCGGCCTCGGCTACGCCTCGCCCGTCAACTTACACCGTCGGCCGAGAATGTGTCACATTTCCACCTAAATACACAATATACTATTTACTCCAAACACTTAGTAGTTGGTCAAGTTTCAGTAAATAAAAATAATCGATTTAAGTCAGGATATAAGATTGTACTCCAAAGTCAAAAACATGGCAGTGACATAATTTCAAACGAATTCAATATCTAATTTTATTTTAAATCCGATATCAGACATGTTTTACAGTATGGCTGAAATAAAAGTTGTTTATATTTATGGTCGAGAAAATCGTTGCGCCTTAAGAACTGCTGCAGTATTTAATAAAATAAATCTTGGAAAAAATTTAAGTCATACCAAAGAATATTATAGACTAACGTCTCTAGAAGTCTCGTCCGTATTCTTATTTTTGATACCTCGATGGACGCCGGCTTCTGCCGGTGTGGACGCCGCACAGTGATGCGGATTTGAATTATAGCGGGACAAAACCTCAGTAGCATTTTTTTTAGACTTCAATATCAAAAAATAGTATCCATATGTATTTTTGTAGCTTGCTTTGTTTTTTAGCTTTATGGGTTAGTGCAGAAAGGCGCACAGTAATAGATCATTTGTTGAATCTACCCGGACTGAAATGGTAAAATCGTTGGTTGTTATTTTGTTCATATAATATCGTACAACGTTTTTTTTTAAATTCACTGAAACTGCCAAAAAACATGGGTACATTTTTTGTGACCATAAACCTGCGGGTGTATTATTTAAATGACATGAAGAAATAAAAATGTATTTTTTTTACTACTAACCTGAGAAGTAGTCATTATTCAATCTATTTTTCTCGGAAAAAATTGAATTTCTCTCCCTAGGTTAATAATGAAAATAATGAAAAAAAACCTAGGTCAATAATGAAAATGACGTCATGACGCAAGGATATTGTCATAACTTTACAGGTTTCTATTGATTTAATTTCAATTTCAAACTGTCAATTTAATCAAAAAAACAGGTTCCTGTATGTATCATAGGAAATTACCATAGATGTTGATAGAGAGCAGCACTTTCAACTAGAAAAAATAATTTGAGCTCAGATTTCAAACTTATTTTTTATTTTCTACTATAGCAGTAGTAAAAAAAATTCTATATATTCCACGGTAGAGAAAGTCATTATATACCTTACGCATTATAAACCTCGGCGCTACGCGTCTCGGTTTATAAAAGCGCTCGGTATATAATGACCAACTTCTCTACCTAGGTATATAATGTACTATTATTCGATGATTTTATTCCATTTACATATAGAAAGTGGCAAAAAAGTCGCTTATAGTACCTGTAACGTTTTAGTTACTCGTATACGAAAAAGTGATCCTGATGAAAGTTGCTGTTTTTTATTTTTTTATTTTTTAACTAAGCAGTTGAAAATACGTGGAAATTAAAACTACAAGAAATTCATAGTTGTCTCACTATAGAAGAAAAGAGGACGTTCTATTTGAAAAAACAAAGTTGTTTTGGATGGCAACCAAGCCAAAAATGACACAAGACATATTTTATACAGGTAGAAATATAGGGAATAATGTACTGAGCAACTTTCATCAAGGTCACTTTTCTGTATACGAGGTAATTGAAAAGTAACAGGTAACAGAGGTATTATGCGCTCTGTATAATGTACCATGTACCATCGTCACCAAAAGTAACTGGGACAGTATCATATTAGCTCTTGTACTATTATATGAATTTTATTGTCAAATATTTGTCAAACTATGAATTAAAAGCATTGAAATGAATGACGGAAGAATTAGTCCAGGAGATTATTCTGCAATATTTTTTTCCCAGAAACTTTTGGTGGCAATGATACCTAAAAGACTCTAGGATCCTATAGCAGTGATATATTGTTATAGTGTGCACATGATGAGCAGTTTCCACATCCAGCACGTTTAAATGTAAAAATTACAGGGACACTCATTTTTTTTTTTTAATAAGGGAAATAATTGTTATTTATAATATTAGTATGTAAAATTATACTGAGTGTAAAGATTGTTGCCTTCCCACCTCATACATAAATTGGAATAGGAATGTTCTAGAACAATAATTTTAATAATGATATTGTGTTTTAACTGAATTTACTACCGATCTACAAAATTTTAGCCTTATCATACCCACAGGAACCCAACCCAAATAAACATAAATTTTTTGAGAGATTGAGAATTCTGGTATAGTACTTATATTGATAAAGTTTAAAACATGAACAAATAATAAATAAGAATTCATTCTA